TCACAGCTTGTGCTTGTCGCTTCAACCTTTCTTCCCATAGTGTTTAGGTCGAAAACGTGGTTCTCTCTGGTCCTTTACAGATTGGCACCCTTTCATTGATTACGCTGTGAATCCAGCGTGGGTCACTGGCTGGTGGTGTGTGCAGCGCCTCAGCTGCAAGAATAAGGTGCTTGGCGGCCATGTGTGTGGCTTCTGTGGGAACCCCCCAAGCGCAGGAAATTCTCTCACCAGCAGTATGCGAGCTATTTGCTCCAATGTCGGCGGGCCTACAAGACCAATTTGCAAAATGCAGAGGCAGTGGAAAAGCGAGAGAAAGAACTTGCTGTGTGACTGGGATGGGCTCCGGTTCAGTTGCTTACTTTGTCTTGTGTTGCTTGGCCACGTGTTGTATGTCAATTGTGTGGTCGGCGGCTGTGAGGCGAGTCTACCAGAAAGACGTGGTCCAGAAGCTTATCGCTAACCGGGCGCCGTTCCGTGCAACCTCAGACCCCATGTTCTCCAACCTGCCTGCCTTCCGCCGGCAATTTGAGTTTGCCTGTGAGTGCCTTGGGTGTAAGTTTGTGGGTACGTAACAAGAACCTGCCACAAAGTGAGTTTGGGAACTATGCTGTCTCTATAGTTTCCAGGCGCTACCAGCTGTATGCTCTCCAGGGGCCGTCTCAAAGCGCAAAGACGTCGTTCATCAAGAGCTTGTACCGCAACCCGTTCGTCGTCACAGTCCAGGGCATCACTACATTGAACTTGTCCACTTTTGAATATGGCGCGCGCGATGCGTTGTGCCTTGGTCGGACTGTACTAGTTGCGCGCGCTGTGGAGGTGCCGTAAGCTGGCTGCGCAGGCTGCGCGCATTCTAGTTCCAGCCAGTCGCGCGTCAACAGGTCGTGGGATACTAGCTATCTGGGCATATCATATTCCCCAGATAGGGTTCTTACTTCAAACAGCGATGAGCTGCCTTTGCGCGCTTTCGAGACAGGTTGCTCTCATTTCCCCTTCCAACAATCCTTTTTCCCGTAGTGCCACACTGAGGATCTTAGACAACATCAACGACTGGGCATTCATCCTAGAGCACCGCGCCTTGCTACAGGCTAACACAGACTTCCACAAGCTGGGTGAATCTCAAACCGGAGTCTTTTCGTACACCGTTTTTCTGTGGGCCACGCCCGTGGCTATAACCTTGGACTTGGATGTGGATTCCCAAAGCGCTTTTGAGTGCAGCGATTGGTTGCGGGCAAATGTCCTCCTGGATGTTCTGAAGCCACAGGATAAAACGTTCCTCGAAGAGGGGCGGCCCAAGCTCCGGATGTCTGACATGCCCGAGTTGCAACTGGACATAGTTTTGTAAGAAGTGACAGGCTGGAAAAGTCGCAGCGCGTTGACGACGTTGCATTTGCAAGGCCTTGTGCTACAAGATGGTTTGAGAGAAGCGGCTCGTATTGAGGTTCTACCGGAATAGCTCTTCCAATTGTTCCATAGGATTAAATAGAGCGTTAAGCGTCTTGATGGCCAAGGTCTTTCAGGTGATCGTCTGGGCCGGGAACCCACCCTTGGTAGCCTTGCATGCTTTTCGTGTCTATACTCTACCTTTACTCAGGCCTGGCTGGCGGTGATCATTTGGGCGTGGATCCTACTGAGTCTAATTCACCGTTTCTTCACTTTGCTCAAGCTTTGCAGATGGTCATGTGGATCCAGCACTCTACGCAAACTCTGCAGATTCCTTTCTCTTGGCTGACCTTGCAAACAGTGTGTTACAGACATGCACAGTTTTTGCGAAGTGTGTTGTCGTCCTGTGACGTGGACGTAGCCGATTTGAAACCGTCATTGTACATCCATCAGTCCGACGCCGCTGCATGAAATCTACAACTCGGAATCATCCGTACGTCGGAACCAGTCATTTAGAAGTAAGTGGCTTGGAATCCGTAGCTCGGAACCCGCAACTGGGCAACTTGGAATCCGTAGCCCCGAGCCCTTCACTCAGAAACCATAATCGGGAATTGGGAATCCGTACTTATTACTGTCTCAGGTCTGGCAGGCTTAGGGTGGACAGTGGCCATTCTCAGGGTGATTAGAACCTGAGACCATTTTGGCTCAAGTGTACTTGGACTACGTCATGTTCTTCTCGGGGCAGCAACGCTTTGGACAAAGCGCGTGGTAGAATCCTCCAAAGGGAACGGGACTTGGAGCCCTTCTAGAGGCGCGACGTGCGGCCATGCGGAGGCGCACGACCTGCCTGTATAGTATTATAAACCCCAAAGTGTCGATGATTGGGCTGACCCATTTTTTACAATGTTTTTGTTGGGCTTGGCGTGGGCTTGGGTTGGGCTAGTGTTGGGCTAGCCCATTTTTACTAGTGTTTTGGCTGGGCTTGGGTTGGGCTAGCCCATTTTTAGCAGCGTTTCCATTGGGCCAGTGTTGGGTTAGCCCATGTTTACCAGTGTTTTGGCTGGGCTTGGGTTGGGCTATTGTTGGGCTGGCCCATTTTTACCAATGTTTTGGCTAGAGTCGGGTTGGACTGGCCTTGGGCCCGTTTTTAGCAGTGTTTTGGCTGGACTTGGGTCCGGCTAGCGTTGGGCTAGCTCATTTTTGGCAATGGGCTTGGGTTGGGCCAGCTCATTTTTAGCAATGTTTTGGTTGGGCTTCCATATCTTCCAGTCGCCGGCAACCCTGCGAGGGCGTCTATATCGGAGGTCGAAGCAAACCGAAAAAGAATTTGAATTCAATGCCTTTTTGGGTGGCTAGTGTTGCGCCAGCCCATTTTTGCCAGGGTCGCGTCAGGAGCAGCCTATAGCTGAGCTGCCACCTCATCTTTTGTGTGGGCAGGGTTGTGGATGGACGCAGCCCTTTGGTAGAGACAGTGTCGCTCCACGGTTGCGTGCGGTTGCGGATGCTTGCGGACGCTTGCGGACGGTTGCGGACGGTTGGGAACGCTGAGACCACGGGTCGCGAACAAGGCTCTATACCCCAGACCCCCAGAGTCAAACGAGAACCCTTTGCGACGCATTCGGGAAAAACAAAAAAGAACACAACGCTCCCAGTATGTTTGGTGCGCGCAACACTGTCAGTGGAATGATGCCCATGCGTCTTTTTGGCTGTCTTCTCTGACGAGCTTGTGGCTCATAAAACGCAGAGTGTGAAAGAGTTGTAGTAGCAAGTGAGCAGACTGTCGTCATGGCGGCGAAAGCGAAAGCCGTGGCCAAAGCAAAAGCAAAGCCGACTGAGGACACAAAAGCTTTCTTTAGTTGAGTTACATGTTGCCTCTGCCTTTGGGTTTTGATGACAAACCGCGGACCCCACTTTGGTGTCAAGAAAATGGTTCTATTCCTGAAGCCGCAGTTTGTGGCCTCGCTAGTACTTGCAGCCTGGGGCCAGGCGCCATGCAATAGGCTGACAACTGTGTCTGGCAAGTGGACGATTTGCAGCTGTCGACAGCTCCGCCACGCAGCCTCTCCTACAATCTTGACACCGTTCTCCACTAGTACGTGCCGGATTTCAGTGCAAAAGGAAAAGGCTTGCGGGTGAATTTTGTCATTTCTACTGCGCAGCACTCGGATTGCCTTGACTTTCCCTTTGAGTTGCCTTTTGTGCCTTGCCTCCACCATGCATTGCCGAGCGATCACATAGTACCCATGGTTGGTGCTGGGTGGGTCTGCAAGGACCTGCAGGGTATTCGTTTGCACGAATTGCAGATTACACCCAAAGGTGGTTGTGCTTCCTAGGTGGAAGAGCCTTTCTAACACTGCATTCTCAAAGCTCCGAAGACTGGCGTGCCCAGGATCCACCTCTAAGAGCAGTTTCTTCCTCGCGCTGGGTGACGTCACCTGGGCTAAAATCGGCCGGTCCGGACTGGGTGACGTTTAGCCAGAGCAGTCAAGCACTTCACTTGAGCCTGGTGTGAAACTGGGAGGTCACTTCACTGGGATAAACTGGCCCTAACTGGCCCGCTGTGAGGGGGTGACGCAGGTAGGTCACCTCATCTGAGGCAAAACTGGCCCTCAGTCAGGCAGTCAAGCAGGTAGGTGCCTTCACTGGGGTGAAACTGGTCCACTGTAAGGGAAGTGACACAGGTAGGAGACCTTGAGGACTGTTGAGCAAGAAGCCTTTTTTAAGTGCATCTCACCACAGGAGGTTTCCATTCCACCATTCCTGCTTTACATTGCGAGGCATGCTTTCGTAGGTTGTACGCAACTTCGAGCAACACTTAAACAAGGAAAAAGCACAACATGGCGAGGGACCTGTGCCCAGTCCAATGCTTTTGACAAATGTGAGCAATTTGACCGCCCAGCAATGCTTTCGAGGCAGGAAAGGAGCAAGGGCAACGCAAGCAATGAGCAGAGCTCGACCTTCAGGAAAGGGTGAGTCTTCTTGGAGAGGAGGGCTTTCTTGGATCGCACAGCGGAGAGGCTTGTCAAACAGCCAGGAAAACACAAATGGAAGAAGAGTCCGTGCTGAAGAAATGCCGTTGCCATTTGTCCAAGCATGAGATGGCCATCCTGGCTTCGTAGGATCCCTGACATGGGATCTACCCCTGGTCTTGGATGAAAACAAGCCTTTCTGGCACAGCTGTCCGGGCATCACAGTCACTCATTGAAAGGCAGTCCAGGTTGGGCCAGAAGCCATCCCAAGCCTCATTCCATTGTGAAGCTGAAGGTTATCGCAAAGCAAGCCTTCCGTTAGAGTTTGCCGATGGGAGCGAGAGCCCCAGTTCTTCGTTTCTAACCGGCGGGTGGTGGAGAGTGGCAATGAAGGATGCCCAGAGGGAACCTTAGTTCCCGCTGTTGATGTCCGACATTGTACAAAGAGGCACAGATATCGTGCTAGGATAGTCCAAAGTTTCAACCAGTTTCACACGGGCCTTGCATGCAGCAGACCTCTTTTTGCAATGATGCAGTGCTTCACAGATTCAGAGACACCCCGGTTTGGCACCTTTGGTTGACCTCCCTTTGGGGGGTGCCTCTTCGCACCCTTACCGACTGGCCTTGTAAGTGCAACCAGTTGAATGGGTTCAAGAAAGGTTTTTTCCACGGCATGCTGCTTAGCTGTTGCCACTCCAGGTCGACATGAATACAACCGGCGTTGGAGCATTGCGAGACTCCTGACCTGCATCGTGACCATTGTTTTGCCGCACTGTGGTGTGGCTCGCTGGTCACCGGCAGTCATCAAGTAAAGTCCATTTGAAGCCTTCTTTGGAGACTTTGCTCGAACACAGACCTGCGCTGCTTCGCTTTTCTTTCGAGAATTCAGGCCCATTCATTGTCATTAGTTTTCGTTTCACTCGTTTCACCTAGCACAGAGGAAAGACTACAAGATGGTGGAGACTCGGCCTGTGGGCTTGGGGTGTTTGGTTTTGGTTGGGTTTGGGGGTCTTTGTTCTTTTCTCCACCATCTGACTGTTCTTTCCGTCCTTCAACGATGACCTGGGCACCATGCCCACACGGCGTCCGTACTCGTGGAAAAAATCTGGGTCGGCCACGACCGACGATGATCTGGGGAACAGGCAAGGCCCGTGAACCTCTTGGAGACTTGGGAACTTGTCTCGAGGAGGGATCGACGGGACCCCGGAAGGACTGTTGGTAGGTCTAGGATATGCAGCCACCAGCCCAGACAGCCCACTCGACTTCCGCCAGGCGCAAACTGCGGGTGAAAGATCGGGAGTCGCAAACCCACACTGCTGGAGTTTAATGTTGCCGACGAGTGCAAGGGTTACCCAGGAAGTGTATGAGCCGTTGATAGGTATTCAGTGTCCCATGTTATGCAGCCGAATGGGAGACACCTGGCAAATAGGCACCACCTCCATTCGAGAGGATCACAAGATTGCCTCAGGCTTACGATTCATCCACTGGTGCCATGCATCGCCCAATGTGCAAGCAAAACAAAATCCCAAAAATGACCCCACAGTTCAGGTGTATCAGCATATTGAAGACCAACTTACCAGAGCAGGCTCTGAAGCTGATGACATCTTGGCCCTTACAACCACCCGAGAAGGGGCCACGAATCTACGCAATTATTTCTACATTGCCGGTAAGAAGGCGAATGCAGAGACAGCAGTCAAGGTAGCAGGAGCCACGGCCAAGCATTGCATCGTCATTCATGGGGATTCAACCTTTCTCAGTGGCGAAGGACGCAACCTGGACTATGACCAGGAGTGCTTCACTCGAGCGAATGTAGCATACAGCCGGGCCACCGACCTTACCATCCTGGCATGTCCATTAAATATGCAAGGGATGCCTGGGGCCCTGCAAGTCCTGGCAGCCCTTCTGCATGGTGTCCAGACGATACATACCTATGACAGTAACAAAGAGCCCAGCATCGTAGGCTCCCTGGACCTTACAGTCACACAAGTTGCGC